GAGCCCCCTCTCTGCTCTGGGATTTCTAGAGTCTCCCTTTCTCTGGCCTTCCCTCCCCACCCCTGTCCCAGTCAGTTGGATCAAGTCATCCAGCGCTGGGTTGGAATCCAGTCTTCCCTTCATGGAATCGCTGAAAGGGATTTTAGTGGCACATTCTACTCATTTTAGCCAGCCTGTCAGTGCAGGCCTTGTGAAATTGCCATGGAAATTAAGAGAAAGCAAACTTCAATCTGAGAAGGGTGTTCGAATGCATTTTTATAGCTCAGAAGCAAACCAATACAGATAATCTGACGTGGGGCTGCCCAGAATATTTAACTCCATCCTGGCATTTGGCAAGGATGAGGCTGGAGGTCCGGTTTCAAAGTAGGAGGTGCTGTCCCATTCCATCGGAGTGTTACTGTGTTGAGGCCCCAGCCGGGCTGGGGAAGAGTAAAGAAAACTCTCCAAACCCTCAGATATGATTACTTTTGTTCTCAACCCACAAGGTAATCTTGGGAGGTGTTATTTCATTTCTAAGAATCATGTCACCTGTTTGTGCAAAGCATGCCATACGTGCCAGCCTCACCTCCCTGGGGAGGAGACAGGACAGCCAGGCCTCTCCATGGGATTAGGAAACCTCTTTATGGGTCCTTGTGAAAGGCAGAGGTGACTGACATCCAAGCAGGCCGATTAAAGGGGAAATGAGTCAGAGGTAACCGTCAAGGCCACCCCCAGTGGTTTTGTAAAATGGGGTGAGGCACATCCGTGCCATAATGGTTCCGTTGTGTGCCCACGTCAGGGCCGGATGTTTACTAGGTGCCTTGTCAGGTCCTATAGCCTCAAGCCCCCCAGACCTGCCTTCACGTCCCACCTCCCCTGCTCCTGTGACCTGGGATACATCTCTGAACCTCGTGTACTCCACACATTGAAAGGACAGAATTGGCCCCTGAGCCAACTGGCCCAAAGGGCTGCTTGAATTGTATAAATGGAAATGGCTCCAGTCTCCTTGGGGGACAGACGACCCAGAGTACCCTCTTAACTCCACTGTGTGGACGAGCTCTGAAAGCCAGAGAGTGCTGTCTCAGTGTAGAATTTTCTCCGCTCCACCTCAGCATTTCACAATGTGGATTCTCTTCTTAACAAGGGGTCCTAAATGTTACCAATGCCAACGCAGTGTCTACCATCCAGGACGCAAAAGCTGCTTTCAAAAATAAGTCACACTGGGGTGAGTGAGGACAATCAAACCGGATTGTTCCCCTACGTCCCTCGACACAACAGTTTGTGTAACGGCACCAGAGTCCGCATTGTTCCAAATCATCTGTCCCATCAACTTAGGCTATGTGAGTGAATGCCTTGAGGGAAAGTAATCACTGTATCAGAAGCCAGGAAAATCATCCTTGGGGTGTACTTTTTTTCTCCTGAGAACAGTTCCTTTCACAATTATGTTGTCTACTAGGAATCTATTATACGATCCAGATTTTCCTCTCAAGACATCATTAATCATATGGTGAAAATGGAGCTACAACTGAAAATACAAGTTGTTTTCTTAGATGCTGAAGTCAATGCCTGGCAATTGTCAAGCTCAAGAATTAGAAAGCATCAGTGCCTGACACTCTGCCTTCTTAAAAATACTGCCATGGAGTGACTTATGACCCTTCTACTAAGGATTATGAAGCTCTCTTTCTCCGTCTTCTTTCTTTAAAATAACTGTGTAGGAGTTTTTAATATTATTCTAATCCCAGTGCCAGGCTTTGCTACAGCATTCTGTGTTGAGTTTGTGTTGTAGCACCGTGTTCTGGGAGAAAACGGCTTTCCTAGAGTTTACTGGAGTGGCCCAGTGTCTTCATGATGGAAAGAAGCCTGAACTAGGAATCCGACGGCTGGATGGCGGACCTTGCTGGCTCTGACCTTGAGCGAATCACTCCAGCCCTCAGGATCGTTTGTCCTTCACTACACACTTCACCTGTGGTCATTACAATGCACTCAGCACATAAAGTTGAATTTAAAAACCAAAACCAAAACCAAAAACTATTGACTTGATACAGACAGAAAAACAGAATATGGTCAGAGAAGTAAGAGCAAAAGCTCCTGCCCCAAAGTTTGGTCACACTTGGCATCACGCTGGGCATCACACAGAGGTGATGCGAAATATAAAACTGCCACTAAGAGAAAAGAGAAATGCTTGCCAGCTCGGCAAGCATTTGTGGGCACCAAGCCTAGAGAAGGAACACAGCTTCCCTATGGCCATGGGGACCCTGGCACCCTGAGGCCCTGCACCAGGCGCTGCCTGGGTGCCCAAGCGTCGGAAACCACCACCCAGCCCCCGGCCCACCCCCCAGCTCAGGCTCGGGCAAGCCCTTCACACGTGGCTTCCTTTCTATTCAGTGAGAAGGTGGACGAGTATCCCACACCCTCGAGGTATGCGGGAGTGATAAACCATCTAAATTCTGAACTGCGAGGGTACCAAGAACAAAGGAAACGATGGGGCTGCACGGGAGAAGGGGCACAGAGAGGGAAGTGGACACAGGCGCTGGGGTGGAGAAAGAGGCCGGGAGGAAGCCAGACAGAGAAGTCAGGCCTCGTTGGTTGAGAAACCAAACACCTGAACGCACCAGACTGACGGTGCCCGACTTCCTCTCCAGCCCTAGCCATCTCTGACTCACAGGCAGGTCCCGGGGGCCCACTTTCTACTCCTCCCCGCTTGAGCCCACACAGGTTACTGCAGGGCAAGTGTTTATCCGGCAGCCATCTGGGCGGGGCTTCCTAGGAGGCCACCGGCCATGGACGGTAGTGGCCCCTCCCTCATTAATTAAGAGGCCATCACTGTTGACAATCAGTGTGACCAGTTCGAACATGTAGAGAACAGAGGGTGGGCAAGCCGCACACCTGACCAGGAAATGATGTTCTTCACCTGCCAGCCCCAGGTGAACACCTGCTGGGTTGGATTTCAAACCAAGATTCTGCCATGGTTTTCAAACATGTGCATTTCTGCATTTCAAGCCTTCACCTGCGAGGATACCCACCCAAGCGTTTTCAGCATCATGACCACGTTTCTAAGCCCACACGTAACACGTGGACAGAAACCTGCCCACGTGGCCCACAGGTCTGCCGCAGTTTGTCTATAGAGACACATCAGGTCAAAACCTCATGACACCCTCCTGGTCGCTCGGTGCATTTTTTCGGTAAAATCTTTGTTCAAGCGGAGAAGGAAAAGGCTGGAACCTTCTGTTGAAATTTCAAGGGGCTCAAGCAAATGGGCCCAACCCTGAGCCTCTCACAGAATTTCTTTGTTAACAAAACAGGCTGGCACACTCTGAACATGTTGAGTCTCAGATAACAATGCTATGGTATCAGCCACTGAGGAGGTTTGGGATCTGTTCCCATTTGTGCCAACAGACACAAAATCATCCCACAACCAGCTCGGCTCAAAGGTCCCAGGGACCAGTCAGTCAAGGTTCTAAAATCATGGCTCCAGGGAATTCCAGGGTGGCCAAGCCAACCGTCTCAACTGCCTCACGTCAAGAGAGTAGGAAGCAAAATGAAGGCAAAAAGGGGCAGAAAGATGAAAAGTAAACAAGTGAGTCTTTGTGGGTCTTCTTCAAAAAAAGATTGAATCTAGCTTTGAGTTGAGAGCTCTGAACAACCCCAATATTCCAGCATATTCCGGGGGTACCTGAGTCACTTTGTTCCAAATTCCTCATAGATGTTCAAGTTGTTTTAAATGATTCATTAGAAACTGAGGATCACTGTTTCTGGGTGATGTGTAGCACGTCCTCTCCCAGTCACCCCCCGCTCAAAGATGGACACATGGAGGATGCACGGGGCAGCGGGGGATGCGGAGTGAGTTCCACGGGAAGAGGTCGGTCAGGCTCGAGAAAGAAATACCAACCCAGGGAGGCGTTAACTCCACACACTTTGAAAACCTAGAGCTGGCAAAGGAGCATCCACGTTGCTAAGAGAACTCAGAATGCCATCAGTCATCAACTCCCATTAACATGCAACAGGCCGGCGGCAAACTCCTGTGTGCGTGGCTCTCCCGAGACCTCCGAGTCCCGCCTGCTCCGTCATCTCTTCTGTTCTTATGGATAGCCCACCAACGCCCCCCCATGAGACTGTCCTTTCAAGATCTGTAAACATACATGTCTGGTTTCCAGAGAGGTTACTATAGGTCACTGGTTACTTTTCAACACTTCAAGCTTGGGAGGAAACACCTGGCTTCCACTTTGCTCTGAAACATTAAAAAAAAGAGTCCTATCTCGAAAGACTAACGTTAATGGCATCCAGTAAAGAGGACCCTCCGAGTGCAGACAGGAAACCAGCACACATGGACGCTGGTCAAACTCTGTGATCATATCAGAGCTTAAGAATCAGTGTGTGACTCACAGACGTAGAAAACAATCTTATGGTTACCAAAGGGGAAAGGAGGGGTGGATAAATTAGGAGTTTGGGATTAACAGATACACACTACTATATATAAAATGGATAAACAACAAGGACCTACTGTATAGCACAGGGAACTATATTCAATATCTTGTAATAACCTATAATGGAAAAGAATCTGGAAAAGTGCATATATATATATATATATATATATAT